CGCCCTCCCTCCTGCGCCCTCTGCCCCTTGTTTTTCTCCACTGCCCGGCGGGTCCCGGTGCCAGCCGCCCACCCTCCCCTGGGCCAGAGCCTTCCGGGCTTTTCCGGGAGAGGCGGCCGAGGGTGGACGGGGTGCCCGATGCCCCCCCCTTCCCCAGCGTGCCCGCCACGGTGCCCGCCAGAGCTCCCCACGGAGCCAGGTACCGGCAGGGCTGAGGCCTCCCTAGTGCTTTGTGTATGTTCGGAGAGATGATGAAAGCAGGAGGGTAAACAGCCACAGAGCAGGCCCTTGGCTGCTCATCCCCCTGAAGAAGCCCCCCCCCCACCTGTCTCTACCGCTCGTCCCCCACCTCCATCCAAGGGGCAACAAACCCCTTAGGAGTCAGGTTGTAGCAGTTCCTGGGCAGCGACCTTTTAAAACCATTCCTCAGCTTCACAATGAAGTCACCCGGCCACCTGGCCTTGCATTGCCTTTGGTTTGGGGTTCAGAGGCTAAGACACGCTTTATATCTCCAGCCCCCCAAGCCCGTAACTGGAGATATAATAAGGTAGTGAACAAAGGGTTCAAAAAGCCTTACCTGACTTTTCTATCAGACCTCTTTCTGGTGTTGTCTTTGTCTTTAGGCCTGGTTGAAAGGAACATCTCTACATGGGGGTTTTCTATGGAGATGGTTTGCCTCTTCCTTTTCACTACCCCCAGTTAGAGGTTCTCTTTCTGGCTTTCCTTTAGCTCCCCAGTTCTTCCTGCCCAGCTTTGCAGCCTGTCAGAAGTGTGATGGGTGGTTTAGGAGTACACCCCTCTGATCCTGGTTCTGGCCCTATCTCGGAGGTCTCTCTGAATGTCAGAATCCTGACAAACAGCTGCTGGGTCTGTGGTCTGCCTGTACCCCAGCGCGAGCCTCTGGTTCCCAGGCCTCCACCTTTGACCTTTTGGAAGGGAGAACAGTCTAGGGGCTTAGTCTCTGGCCCTAGGGGGATTGACAGCCTGTGAGCTTTCAAATTCAGCTTTCAAGTTCTTAGCTCTTTGTCGTTTACCTCTTCCTTCAAGGCTCTCTTTACATCTCCCACTGAGAGGAGCACTTTTCTCTGTGATTAGGGTTGAGGAAACAGGGGTCAAAAGGTAAAGAGAAAGTTAGCCTCCTGGCTCAGATTTAAATTAGAACAGGAGGCTAGGATACTAGGTAGCATAACATGGAAATGTGTAAGGAGGCCCAGGGTTGCTTGTCTCAGATACAGTTTCCTCAGAAAGGATAGATGTTTTCTTAGTCTCTCACCGGGCTGGGTAGTAGCTGGTCCTTGCCATCTTGGAGAGCCTACAAAGACATTTGTGCCCAGTTCCTAGCAGAAGCAGAATGCACAAGCTTACGCTCTCAGTCCGTTTGCCTTGCCTCACTTCCTTGCACCTTTCTTATTAGGCTACGTTATAGGGAGAGTCTTGGCCTTTCACAAAGTTACCCCCAAGAAATACACTGTTGTCTTGCTTAGAGCCTCAAAGATACTGCTTCCATTGCCTGAACTTAATGAACCTTCAGAATTTTACTGCCCTCAGTGCTGTTGGCTAGAAATCAGGGTCCTACAACTCGGATTTCAGAGTGTAGCTGAGAAGGACTAGGAAGCCCCACTTGCCTCCAGCACCCAATGCTGGCAGGCTCAGTTGGGGGTCAGCAGAATTTCAACTTCCTGTGAGGGGCTTAGAGGGCTTCCCTTCTGCCATTTTCTTGATAAAAACTAGACATGTGGGAGAAAAAGACTCTATTTTTTCTCCCCCAGATGCTTCCAGAGTCCCCTGGGAAGAAATAAGGGAGATAGTGGACAGTTTATCTGGGGTCTGCTTTTCTTCCCTTTGCCTCTGTTTCCCCAGTATATCCAAGCTGAACCACCTACCAACAAGTCCTTGTCTAGCCTGGTTGTACAGTTGCTACAGTTTCAGGAAGAAGTTTTTGGCAAACACGTCAGCAATGCACCGCTCACAAAACTGCCGGTGAGTGCAAATGCAGAGATGAATTCTCCAAACTGGAGAGGGAGTTGTGGGTTTTTTGTAAATTTCATCCTTTTTGAGATTTGGGTAATTGCCTATTATCCCCATCCCGGGTCAGGGCATTACTGGCTTGCCCTAGTCCCCAATTTACCACTCCCTTTCTTTGTCTTCGTAATACTTCGTGCAACAAGGGGCGCCTGGCTGGCTGAGTCCGTGGAGCGTGCGACTCTTGATCTGGGGGTTGCGAATTCGAGCCCCATGTTGGGTGGAGAGGTTGCTTAAAATCTTAAAAAAAAATACTTCATTCAACAGGTTATCTGAGAGTGTCTAAGCTCCTATACGAAACTCTCATGGCACGGTTAAAAGGGTACAGGATTTGAATTTACGTAGGCTTGTGTTCAAATTCTAGCCCTGCCACTTGGTATCTCTGTGATCTTAGGCAAGCCATTTAAACCTTTTGAGTATCTGTTCCTTCATCTCCAGATGGGATTAATATCTCTACCTTATAGGGTTTCTGTAATGGTCAATGAGGTAACCCAGTAAGTACGTGGCACAAATTGGGGCTTTGTGAATACTGATTTCTTTCTCCCCCACTTCTTCCAGGCCACGTGATACCGTGGCATAGAGGTTAAAAAATTCCAGCTTTGGGGCTCAATCGATTGGGCCTCCAACTCTTGATTTTAGCTCAGGTTGTGATCTCAGGGTCATGGGATTGAGCCCTGCCATCAGGCTGCATGCTCAGTGAGGAGTCTGCTTAAGACTGTCTCCCTCTGCCTCTCCCCCCACACACACTCTCCCTCTCTCAAATAGATAGATAAACCTTAAAAAAAAAAAAAAAAGAATTCCAGCTTTGAGAAAAAGATTAGTTCAGTATGGGTTTTGTGAAAGGATTGTTAAAAAGAGAATTTAGGATGTAACTCTCACATACTTCTTTCCTGTCTCAATTTTGTAGATCAAATGTTTCTTAGATTTCAAAGCAGGAGGCTCCCTGTGCCATATACTTGCAGCTGCCTACAAATTCAAGAGTGACCAGGGATGGTGAGATGCCTTCTTTTCTATGCTTCTTACATTTAGGGGGACTCCCCCTTTATGATTTCCTAGGTCTTTCTAGGGGTGGGAGAGCATAGGTAGACATTCTTGTGAGTCTCTTACTTTGCTAGGTTGGTAGGCCGGACTTGCTGGGTCAGAAAAGTGGCTGAGAGTCAGAGCCAAAATAGTCTCCCAAGAGTGAATGAGCATGTATGTGTGCGTCAGCGTGTGTATTGTAGAGGAAAGGGGATTCTTCGGTTGGCATCTCAACTTTTCTTTGTCCTTTCGGATAAAGTACAAAATGATTCATGGAGTTGACATTAGTGAACCCCAGATCCCAGGCCATTTTGGCAACAGTTGTGAGCAACATTGCTTCCTGATTTCCCATGCTAAAAAGTCACATACCCTGACCTCATCTTCAGACCTGATCTAAACCACTCACTAGATTGTTGCCTCTTCTCAAGGCGGCGTTACGATTTCCAGAATCCATCACGCATGGACCGCAACGTGGAAATGTTCATGACCATTGAGAAGTCCTTGGTGCAGGTAATAGTCAAGAACCTTCCCCGTCCATCTCCATTCCCTCAGTGAAAATCTAAAACACGCCTTCCCCATGATCTCATCGCATCTATTTCTTCTCCCCACAGAATAACTGCCTGTCTCGACCTAACATTTTTCTGTGCCCAGAAATTGAACCTAAACTGCTAGGGAAATTAAAGGACATTATCAAGAGACACCAGGTGAGTGGGTGGGTCAGAAGACGTTTTGGAAACTCCATGACTCTTTTCCTGATGTTTTCAGTACAATAAGCATCCCTTTGGGTGACATGTTTTCTATTGCAAAGGCGCTCTCCCTACTTGGAAAAAGACTAGAGTTAAAGCCTTGAGCGTCTCTTTCTCAGTTCGCTCCTCCCATTTCCTGGTCTTGACAGGTTGGAATCACTGTTCCTAGAGACTGCCTTGGCCTGAGGATTAGGAAAGCCAGAGATTGCCTGATTTCAGAGAAATGAAACCTTACCTTGGAACTGTGTAATAACCAGCAGATGCCATTGCTGGGAACATACAGTCAACTTTACATTTCCCATGTGCAGATTATCTGTTCAGAGGATTATCTGTAGCAACTTTCAGTTCTTTAGTTTTTCTTCATTTTATTTTATGTTTATTTATTTTTTTAAAGATTTTATTTATTTATTTAACAGAGAGAGACACAGCAAGAGAGGGAACACAAGCAGGGGGAGTAGGAGAGGGGGAAGCAGGCTTCCCGCAGAGCACGGAGCCCGATGTAGGGCTCAATCCCAGGACCCTGGGATCATGACCGGAGCCGAAGGCAGATGCTTAACGACTGAGCCACACAGGCGCCCCTAGTTTTTCTTCATTTTAGCACTATCCCAGCTCTTTGCCTCTGCGTCTCAGCTGGTGTGTGTTTAAAGAATGCAAACTAACTTTAATACCATTCTGAGCAAAATATGATTAGGAAGGCAGATCTGTGGTTAAATCTTACTTTGGCTTATTTACACCCATGAGTAATTCAGAGGGGACTATTCACCTGCTTTTCCTCATGCCATCCAGGGAACAGTCACTGAAGATAAGAACAATGCCTCCCATGTTGTGTATCCTGTCCCAGGGAACCTGGAAGAAGGTGAGACCTGGGTTTTTCTGGCCTCTGCAGTGGACGGCTTGGACTAGGAGTGGGGGACTGTTCAGCCCCCGCACAGTGCCTGGGCTCCTCCTCTCTCCTTTCAGCCCTGAGCCCTCCTACTGCCTTACGTTCCTATTTCCAGGTCCCTGGCTGCAACACGAGTTGTGTACAGTTATTTTCTGTGTATCCCTTTAGCTTATATCTCTCCTTGTTCTGTCTCTGTCCCCAGAGGAATGGGTACGACCAGTCATGAAGCGGGATAAGCAGGTTCTTCTGCACTGGGGCTACTATCCTGACAGGTGAGGACAGGGTCCTGGGACAGGTTTAAGTATAGGAGCCAGACTGAGAAGCCTTGGAACATCTAGCAAAGCAAGCAGACACTCTTTTGGGGTTATTTCTAGGTCTGTTCATTTGTTCTCCTCCTCTCTATTATGAGAATTTTCTGTCTTGGGAGAGGTTTGGACTTACTCGATGAGGGTTAGGCTAAAAAGATTGGGGCTTTATGTGTGAAATGGTTATTCTGGTATAATCTGTGATAAATGATAGAAACAGTCTAAATGTCTAACAGTGCGAAAATGTTTCAGCAATTTGTATATCTACTCAGTGGACTATTATGCAGCCATCGAACTGATAGAAATAACATGGGGGAAAAATAAATCACATGGATAATTTGTAGATAAATATTAAATGCAAAAAAGTGTGATTATAAAATAACATCTAGTGACATTGCAATTGTGTAAAAACAAAATCATACAGGAAAAATTTACTGGGAAAAATATATATACCAAGTAGTTGTGTTGGGGTTATTCTTTTCTCTCTTTCCTTTTTTTTTGGAGTTGCTCTTACCACTTTGTGATGGAAGGAATCCCAGTATTAGTTGGAAAAATAATCGCTTCTCGGCCTTTTGGCTAAGATCAAGTGTAATTGGAAAAATAGTCATAGCAAAAAAGAACCCAACAACCCTATACTTCTTATAAGTGGAAAAGGTGAAAGATACATACTTTACTTTTCTGTGACTCCATCCTGTTGGTCGTACTTCACACTCAATTTCCCGTGGCAGTTACGACACATGGATCCCAGCCAGTGAAATTGAAGCATCTGTGGAAGATGCTCCAACTCCTGAGAAACCTAGGAAGGTGAGCATTTCTTGTCCCCTGACCCCAGAAAGTATGCCAGGGGCCACCTGGGGGGCTCAGTTGGTAGAGCGTGCAACTCTTGATCTTGGGGTTGTAAGTTTGAGCCCCACGTTATGTGTAGGTATTCCTTAGAAATATTTTTTTTTTAAAAAAAGACGAGGACCGGGACCAGAGCACTCTTTGGAGGTGAAGCCCGGGCTCCCGCGTCCTTGGGCTTTTCTGTCAAGGGCACTCAGACAGCTGTGGCTTTCAGGCTCCTCTCCAGCACAGCCTGCCTTTGTACTTCAGGTTCATGCAAAGTGGATTCTGGACACAGACACTTTCAATGAGTGGATGAACGAGGAAGACTATGAGGTAAATGATGACAAAAGCCCCGTCTCCCGCCGAAAGAAGATTTCAGCCAAGACGCTGACGGATGAGGTGAAAAGTCCTCTTCTTTCTTCCCTGATCCCTTAGCCTAAGTCTCGGGATAGGTCTTCAGTGGGGCTTGTTGGCTGACATTTGTTCCCACTCTCCAACCTGCAGGTGAACAGCCCAGATTCAGATCGACGGGACAAGAAAGGGGGGAACTATAAGAAGAGGAAGCGCTCTCCCTCTCCTTCACCAACCCCGGAAGCCAAGAAGAAAAACGCTAAGAAAGGGTATACCGGCCCCTGCCCTGCCCCCACCTTCGCCATTCTCTCCACACCATGGTGAAGGCAGGAAGGACAAACGCCTCCCCGTAGCCACCTGGCCCTGAGCAGGGTAGGCCAGGTCCCTGCAGGTGTCCTGAGAGGGAAGATGAGGTCGAATCTAGCTGCCCGGTTGTTGGTTCTAGTTGCAGCCCCCAGTGAACTCAGAGGGAGCTAAATCTTCCAAGTGAAAGCCATTGCCTTTCCCAGTACCCTGTAGTGACTGGTTTCTGTGTGTGCTCAGCTCCACCTTTGGGATTCTCTCTTGCTCGCTGCCCTTGAAACCTCAACTTCCAGGGACTCCTTGTCCAGGCATGACTGGGTTATCTTTCACTCCCTTTCCTTCCCAGTCCCTCGACACCTTACACCAAGTCGAAGCGTGGCCACAGAGAGGAGGAGCAAGAAGACCTGACAAAGGACATGGATGAGCCTTCACCAGTCCCCAATGTAGAGGAGGTGACGTTGCCTAAAACAGGTATGGGCCACACCAAGCTCCTGGGACCTACCTTCTGTCAGGGCTGAGTTCCCTCACCCTGCTTCAGGTCTGGAGGATCTTTCCCTTCAATTTAGCTGGTTATTAAAATTATTTTCATCACCATGGACAGTGCTCTGACTTTGTCCGTATCAGCGTCGTGGCCTGTGCTTTGTGCCTGGCGGTAGTTCTCTCCAGACGGCTTCTGATCAGGCAGCCCTGTCAGTAAACTATTTAAGCACAAGTTCTGTGTGTGTGCTACTATAAGGCTACTTTAGGAACATTATAAAACACGTGCAAACATTACCTAAAAGTGGGAAAATGTAAAGGATAAGATTAAAAAAAACCAATATAAAGAGAAGTCCTGCGATTCTCTGCCTGAATTCCAGTGGACCATCTCTTGTATCCCGTGTGAGAACCCCACTTGGGAGACCGTTGCTCTGCAGTGTTAGAGAGTGGAGCAGCTGCAAAGGTGGACTGCCACCTGTATTCTGTAGACGAGCTCCAGATACCCAGGAGTGTATTTCAGGGGCGGGGAGGGGGCCACGGAGAGAGAGGACGGCCGGCTTCCAGCCCCTCGGCAACCACAGCAGAGAGCACAGCGGCTCTCTTCTGTTTTCTCCTGAGCTGGTGGGTACGGATTCAGTTAAGGGAAGCCCTCTGCTCTAAAAAAAAGGTTGAAGATCCAACCACTCCTCTACAGAGTGATTTGGTCAGACCCTGTCTCGGTCCATTAAGGGCTCACAGACACATAGATGGAGATAAGAGGGGCCTGGTGGAGACAGGAATGCTTTATGAATGTCCATAGAGTAGAAGATGCTTCTTTATAAGAAAAAAGTTAAGTGAATTTTTGGCGGCGGAAGGAGGGAGCATGGCAAGTGAGTTTCAAGGCCTAGAATGACTGTGCCTGGAGGGAGTTACCACCTTTTGTGATCCGATGGAGAAAGTTTTTTGGGGGGGGGGAATTAGATCTCTAGAATTGTTAACAGTGGAGAGTTTGGGGCTTGGTTTGGGCAGAACCTGTCTGATAAAATGACTGTCTCTCTCCTGGCAGTCAACACTAAGAAGGATTCAGAGTCCGCCCCAGTCAAAGGAGGCACCATGACTGACCTGGGTAAGGAGGAGGGGAGGCTCAGCCGCCAGCCTCCCCTAGCCCGCCGGGGCTTTTCAGAGAGTGGGGTCCTGCTGCCCCTCAGGAGGCTCCAACCTTCTCCTTTGCCGTCTCTCTCTTTCAGATGAACAGGAGGATGAAAGCATGGAGACCACGGGCAAGGTGGAGCCAGTTTAGAAAGGCCCTCTCTGCCTCTCTATGGGATTCTGAGTTGTGCTTATTAAGTTCCTTCTACCCAGAGCTTTCTATTCCCTGGAGTTCTCCCACCTTAGACTAGTTCTAGCTGTTGTTCAAAACTCAAAACTCTGACCCTTTCCAAGTTCCAGGGCCTATAACTGTTCATTCCCATACCCATCTTTAGTGCTCCCACTTTCCTGGGGTGTGGGAGAAGCAGAGGGTTGCCAGGGGCAAAATGGGAATGCTGAGTGTCCAGCAGCCTCCATACTTGTAGGATGAAGATGAAAACAGTACGGGGAACAAGGGGGAGCAGACGAAGAATCCAGACCTACATGAGGACAACGTGACTGAACAGACCCACCACATCATCATTCCCAGCTACGCCGCCTGGTTTGACTATAATAGGTATTGTTGTTCCAGCTTCTCACTGCTTGTCTGTTTCCCTGCCTCCAGGGGCCAACGAGCTGTTCCTCTTCCTGTCTCCACATAAGTTATTTCTTCATCAGCCGGGTAGACTGGGGAACACTTCGGTTTTAGGGGAGTTCCTGGTCTCTTTGAGTATTAGTGCCCTGGGGGAAGTTCTCCCCAAGGAAGGGAAAACTGCTTTGTTTTCCCTCCCTCCCTTCCTTCTAGGCTTTTCCTTCCGAGGCTCCCGTCTCTCCACCAGTGCCTTCTGAATGTATTATGTCTTCTCTTGCAGTGTTCATGCCATCGAGCGGAGGGCTCTCCCCGAGTTCTTTAACGGCAAGAACAAGTCCAAGACTCCAGAAATGTAAGGAAACCTCAGCACACGACTCTCTTTCTCCCTCCTGTCCCTGATCACCCTTCCTGACCCAGCAATATCCTGTTTCGCAAATATTTCTTGAGTTCCTTCCAAGAGCCAGGCACCGGGCTACTCTTACAAGACGTGATCTCTGCCCACGAGCAGCCCCAGCCCAGCACCATGGCCACAGTAGCTGCTCTCTAGGATTGCCTGGGGGCAGGATTAAGCATGGTCTTCTATACAAAACGGGTACCTGCTCTGATGCCTCCATTTCTTTCAACAGAGTCCAGAGCCTTCCAATCCATCATTACTAAGATATCTAAAATGCAGATATCCCCGGCATTCATAATAGCTTTGACTAAAATGTATATGACCATGCTGGTCCCTGAGAGTAGATTTTAATAGAAAAACAAGAGGAGGGGGGCGCCTGGGTGGCTCTGTCGTTAAGTGTCTGCCTTCAGCTCAGGTCATGATCCTAGGGTCCTGGGATCGAGCCCCGCATCGGGGTCCCTGCTCAGTGGGAAGCCTGCTTCTCCCTCTCCCACTCCCCCTGCTTGTGCTCCCTCTCTCGCCGTGTCTCTCTCTGTCAAATAAATAAATAAAACCTTAAAAAAAAAAAAAGACAATAGGAGGAACTATGAAGATCCAAGACTCTGAACTAAGGGCTGGAGAAGGCTCTATGGAGAGAAGTGTTGTGTAAAGTGCAGGCTTGGGGCTTGGAAGTCTTCGTCTTCGTGGAGGTGTTGCCTCAAGCCAAACCTGTTTGGTTTTGAATGAGTCTTGGCAATCTTCTAGGGTTAGGGATGCGCCAGGATAAATGTCATAATGAGAAGGGGGAGAAAGTGTCGATCTCCCTGGGAACTGAATGGGTTTGCTTCCCAGCTCTTCCTCAGCTTCCCCTCCCTGGGGCCATCTTGCCTTTCCACCATGTTTCTTTCCCTGTACCTGGTATTGTTCTCTCCTCTTCCTCCGGGGGAAAGCTGTATATATGAAGAAGCTTGCTCTCTCCAGAGGAAAAGGGAGAAACGACCTGGTGGCAGGAGTTCAACCTGGTCTGTAGGCAGGGCTGGATCTAGAATTGTTCTACACTTGGTTCTCTTGGTGTGAGATAGTAAATAGTGATAATTCCCTGCGTTTACTGAAAGCTTACTATCTCCCAGGCACTATCCTGAGTGTCTTACGGGTATTGACTAATCTTTATATCAGCTTTAGAAGTAGGTCCTATTATCCTCTCCAGTTTACTGATTAGGAAACTGAGATACAGAGAGGTTAAGTCACTTGATTAAGGTCACACAGCCAGTGAGTAGAAAAACCGGGATCTGAATCCTTTAGACTGGCTCATGTTCTCAAACTTCATGCTATACCACCCAATAGCTACCATTTGCTGAGCTGCTGAAATGTGCCTGGCACTGTACTAGATCTTTACAGGTCTTTCTATTCCTCAGCAGACACTCCCACTTTACAGATTAGGAGACCGTAGTTCAAAAAATTTAAGTATCTTGCCCGAGGCCATCATGGAAGAGCTGGGATTTGAACTTAGAGCTTTCCACCTTCAAAATATATATTCTAGGGGCGCTTGGGTGGCTCAGTCAATTAAGTGTCCGACTTTTGATTTTGGCTCAGGTCATGATCTTGGGGTCATGAGATCAAGCCCAGCATCAGGCTCTGTACTGGGCATGGAACTGCTTAAGATTCTCTCTCTCCCTTGGGGCACCTGGATGGCTCAGTCGGTTAGGCATCCAACTAGTGATTTCGGCTCAGGTCATGACTTCATGGGTCGTGGGATCAAGCCCTGCATTGGGCTTAGTGGGGAGTCTGCTTGAGATTCTCTCCGTCTGCCCCTCCTCCCACGCACATGCACTCTCTCAAATAAATCTTTAAAAAAAATAAGATTCTCTCTCCCTCTGTCCCTTCCCTGAGCACGCTTTCTCTAATAAAAAATAGAAATAAATATAAATACATATGTGTGTGTGTATATACATTTTTTTCTTTTTTTCAGTGAGCTCCACACCCAGTGTGGGGCTTACTTAAGAAACAAAAACATAGGGCGCCTGGGTGGCTCAGCTGGTTAAGTGACTGCCTTCAGCTCAGGTCATGATCCTGGAGTCCCGGGATCGAGTCCCGCATCGAGTCCCGCATCGGGCTCCCTGCTCGGCAGGGAGTCTGCTT